TACAGCATTGTGTCAAAGTTGAAGTTTCTGTTTTGGATTATTGTGTTGTGTTTATGTAAGCAATTATCCTTGCTTTTCAAAAATAGACATTGAAGAATTTAGGAATAAAGGGATAGGACAATTCAATTTACTCCAAATGAAGGAAATTAGATCTATATTTAAATCCATCTATTTATATGTTGTATGTTATATAATCTAATAGATGCATGTGTACATTATATGTGTGTGTGTGTGTGTGTGTGTGTGTGTGTGTGTATACCCAAAATGACACTGGCACATACTTACAGATATAAGATATATATAGAAGGAAATGTAAGTGATTCACAAAGGAGATACTTTTGTGAACAGTTGAGTAAAGAATATTCTTATTCTTTCTTACAACTCATCCAAAAGTTTGATAAATATAAAACTACAGAGTTGCATCCTATTCTGAATACCCCACTTGAGGTCTTATATACGTTGGTGCATACCTACCTTCTCACCTCCACCTTATGCTATCCCTCACTCTAAAATACTGTTTTTGTATGTGTGTGTGTTTTTTTTTTTTTTTTTTTTTGACACAGATTTTTGCTGTTACCCATGCTGGAGTGCAGTGACTTGATCTCAGCTCACTGCAGTCTCTGCCTCTGAGGTTTAAGCAATTCTTTTGCCTCAGCTCCCTGCCCAGTAGCTGGGATTACAGGCATGTGCCACCAGGCTGGCTAATTTTTGTATTTTTAGTAGAGATATGGTTTTGCCATGTTGGCCAGCCCAGTCTGGAACTCCTGACCTCAGATGATCCACCTGCCTTTGCCTCCCAAAGTGTTGGGATTACAGGCATGAGCCACCATACCCAGCCCAGATGTTCTGCCTTTAATCTCTCAAGTTCACTACACTGAGTCCTACCACAAGCTCCTTCACAGGCCACTCTCTTCCTGCAACCCCCTTCTGCTCACCTTCATGCTCACCTTCACCTCTGCTAGGCACGAGCTCATGGAATTAGAGAGCCTGGCTTAATGCTTTTCCAATAGAGATGGAAAGTGTCGTTTGCATAAAACCATTTTTGTTATCTAATAACATCTTGTTCCTTGATATATTTATGCCAATGAAAATTCACCGCTCAAATAAGTATCAAAGCCTTAAAAATATATGTATTTTGCTGTAATTTTCTTCATGAAAAAATTGGAAATTACAGGAATAAATAAACCACAGTTTCATCATTTTAATACTGAATACCGTTAGCATATTTCTTTTGTCTTTTTGCTGAGAGAGAGAGATTAAAGAAAAGGAAGACTGTGCGCTCCAGCACCATGCTTTTGAGCTGTATAATTCTGCATCCTTCTTTGTTGATTGTATACTTATATAACATTCACAGGCCACCCCACTGACAAACTGCATTGGGTCAAAACATTGTCTTTTAATTTTTTGTTTAAATGTTGCTGGGGAAACCTTGATTCTGTATTTTCTTCTCTGAACATCAGGCAGACCGTGGCTTGTTCACTTTTAACCAAGGGAGAGACTTGCACCCTGGAAACCTTTGCCTCAATACATTCCAGCATCAGCAGAATCTAACAGGCTACATCAATTGCTTCGCAGTCACAGACAGAGGCCAATTACTCTCGAGAAGTGAGCTGAAGCTCAATGATTAAGAAATTTGGGGACTTAAGGCTCTTCTCTCTGTCTTTCTTTGGCCCTCTAAATGTGATACATTATTCAAAGTCTACATCTCTTTGCTTCACCATGTTTAAAATGGAAAGGAGAAATCTAATTTTATGCTCACTTTTATTCTTCCATTTATTCAATCAAAGCAGCACTCATTGGGCACCATTTCTAAGTGAGGCACTCTGTTGTTGGGTAGAGATACTGAACAGAAGCTATCATCTTTCCAACAGGTACTCTCTCCCAAGCAGGAGAGACAGGTATTGAACAGAAAATTATAGTACAATGCAATCAGTTTCGCAGTAAGAGGATAGTCCCTGTGCTAGAGGAGTTTAGAAGAGAATTTTGCTAAGATAGTCTTTAGTGTGGCTTCAACAACAACAGTGAGGAGTCAAGAGAGGAATTGCATGTTATTGCAGAATGCCAGGGCACATGCACCTGTCCAGTGCTGGTAAAGAGAGCAGCCCATCTCCTGCTTGCCTCCTTGGCAGACATTATTAATCAATGCTTATTACCCTTTGAATACAATTTCGAAGGCGCTTCTTAAAAGTGTGCCTCAAAATGTGAATTCAGATGTTTTGGATTCAGTCAAATCTTTGTTAGAACTCAGCCTCTGTAATTGTGGGATATATAATCTTGGGCAAGACAATCAACCTTTCTTACTTCCTCAAATTCTCCTCCTCACAGAGCTCAGTCGATAATTAAGTGAAATAATACAGGTAAAGCTTGCCTTTAGATACTACTGATGAGATTGTTAAGTGACAAGCACAGATTGGAAAACAGACAGTTTTCTTAAAGTTAGCCATAAGTTCGCCTCATGTGCTAACAATTCTTTTGTTGTTGTTGCTGTTGTTTTCTTGTTTGTTTGTTTTGTTTTGTTTTTGAGGCAGAGTCTTGCTCTGTCGCCCATACTGGAGTGTAGTGGTGAGATCTCAGCTCACTGCAACCTCTGCCTCCGGGGTTCAAGCGATTCTCCTGCCTTAGCCTCCCAAATAGCTGGGATTACAGTTGTGCGCCACCATGCCCAGCTAATTTTTGCATTTTTGGTAGAGACAGGGTTTCGCCATGTTGACCAGGCTGGTCTCAAACTCCTGACCTCAGGTGATCCGCCCGCCTTGGCATCCCAAAGTGCTGGGATTACAGGTGTGAACCACCACGTCTGGCCAACAATTCTATTCTTAAGTATTTAGGGAAGTGAAAACATATATCTACCCCCAAATTTGCTATGTCCATATTAATAGCAGCATTATTTATAACAGCCAGAAAATGGAAACATTCCAGATGCCCGTCAACTGATAACTGAATAAATAAAATGTGGTCTATCCACATAATGAAATACTATTTAGAAATAAAAAAGAACAAAGTAGTCATACATACTACAACATAGATGAACCTTAAAACCATTATATTAAGTGAAAAAAGCTAGACGGAAAACACTACATATTGTGTGATTCTGATTACACATTAAGTCGAGAAAAGGCAAAGTATAGCAAGTTACTGGCTCCCTGGGACTGAAGATAGACACAGTGATTAACTGAAATGAGCTCCAGGTAGTTTCTTAGGGTGATGGAAATGTTACAAAATTGTACTGTGGTGGTGGTTACACAACTCCGTGAATTCACTTAAAAATCATTGTCTTGTACACTTAAAATAATTGAGTTTTAAGTTATATAAATAACACCTCACTGAAGCTGTTAAAAAAGATATATAAAGTTTTAGCATGGAATCTAGACACATTCAACACTTATTCCAACTCTCTTCTTTGGGAAAGTCTTCTCAGACTAGTCCTGTCACCCAACATGAACTACTTTCTCTGCGTAACTGTATTTATAGCTATTTCTTGGCATTGCAACCCATCTTGCCTCATGACATGGCTTGTTGTTGGATATTGCATAATTTAACTTTTGGTATACATATTTTAATACCTCCCCAAAAGAATGTAAACTCCCCCAGGATAGGGATAATCTCTTATTTATTTTTATATCCTCATCCTTGGCATGTAGCCTTCAGCTTGGCTGCTGGCACAAAATTCAAATTCCAATATTTATTAATCTATTATTAACTTCAACACTGAAGAAAAAAAAGAGGAACTTTTTTTGCCAACTATGATTTCTGAGTGAGATGGAGAAGTAATCACAAGAACGGCTACTTTCAAGGGTGAACACATTTTAGAACACAGAGCAGCATAAAAGCAAGATCAATTTGGAGACGCTGCTGATTCAGGCTCAGCGTGGCTGATTAATTTACACTGCCATGATCACTGCAGATACATCTAAATTTTAGATTATTTTTATCTTGGCAAAGAAGCCCTAACTCAAGCCAGCCTTTTGTTGCTAAGCGTTTAGCAAAACAGACATTAAAGGAATTGGAGGAAAAAATTAAAGCTTCCGTTAGGTTTTTTTTTTTTTTTTATGACAAATTGATGTCTTTTAAAACAATTCAAAGAGTAGCATTTTATCTAAGAACAACCCTTAAGTCAATTAAATTAATTGATGTGTGTGTTAAGATCAGCCAGTGAGTTCACTGTCTTTCATCTAAACAGGAAAAAAAAGTTGGAATGGCTTTGTAGAATCTCAGATGTGAAGGTTGCTTTGAGCTCATTAAGTGCTGCTCAAACTTTTAATGGTAGTTTAAGGCAAACATTGGAGATAATGCTTCAGAACTGTGCAGTTTTGTCCTACAGTGAAAGGGAGATAAGAGTGAACTAGACAATTGTTTTGCCTATCAGCACCCACTTCCTATTATTTGGGGATAGGACCTCAGTTCTCCTTTTCGGAGCTCCCTCAACCCCATTCTTTGTTTAGGTGGCACTAAACCAGCACCGATATGACCTGGGCTTCCCCATCCATGAGGACCCACAACTCTTGTCCAGCTATAACTTGTGGTATTAATATAGCCAAGCCAAAATCATTGAATTCTGTTATTTTCTGTGAACACCATGAAACTGTTTTGCTTTTGTTTCTTTCTATTTAAAGACATCTTTAAAATTTTTCTACAAAGTTGAAAGTTGCAAAGATGCAGCAATTATCTTGACATCCTTCAAATAGATTGACAATTTTTATATATGTTAACACCTCAGTATGTTCTGTCTCTTTCTTATTCTCACTCTCTCAGTGTGTGTGGGGTGCATATATATATATATATAAACCTGTGAATATAAAGTCTGTATTCTTTCTGCATGATTTGAGAACAAGTCACAGCTATAACGATACTTCATTACAAAATATTTTAGCAGGTAAATTCTAAGAACAAGAACATTCTCCTATGTAACTATAATAGAATTATCAAATTCAAGACCAGGACGTGGTGGCTCATGCTTGTAATTCCAGCACTTTGGATAGCTAAGGCATCTTTGCTCTTACTGGAGAAGTCCTGCCTTATGATCGGGCAGCAGAGAGGAAAGTAGGCAATCATGTGGAGAGGAACAGAGCTCTCATGATCTCATTGCAAAGAATGGTGGATCACTTGAGCTTGGGAGTTCGAGACCTGAGCCAACATGGTAAAACCCAGTCTGTAATGAAAATGCAAAAATTAAATGGGTGTGGCAGCACATACCTGTAGTCCCAGGAACTTGGGGCTGAGGTGGGAGGATTGCTTGAGCCTGAGAGGCGGAGGCTGTAGTGAGTCAAGATCGCACCATTGATCTCCAACCTGGGTGACAGAGTGAAACGCTATCTCAAAAAAAAAAAAAAAAAATCAAATTCAAGAAGTTTAATGTTGATACAAATATCATGATCTAATATATATTCATTGTTTAATTTAGTAAATTGTGTTACTAATGTCCTTTACAGCATTTTAAATTCCAGGATCCATGCCAAGGTCACACATTGCCTACCTGCTACATTTCATGATTGGAAACAGCTTCCCAGCCTTTCTTTGTCTTTCATGGCAGTGAAATTGTGTGAAAACTAGAGGCAAGCTGTTCTCTGAAATGTCCCTTAATGTTGGCTTGCCTGATTTCTCTATTTTTTAAAAGGTTTTTATTACCATAGGTTTTTGGGTAACAGGTAGTGTTTGGATACATGAGTAAGTTCTTTAGTGGTGCTTTGTGAGATTTTGGTGGACCCATCACTCAAGCAGTACACGATGAATCCAATTTGTAGTCTTTTATTTCTCAACCATTTCCTACCCTTTCCTCCTGAGTAATCAAACTCCATTGTATCATTCTTATGGCTCTGCTTCCTCATAGGTGAGCTCCCACCTATAAGTGAGAACATATGATATTTGGTTTCCCATTCCTGAGTAACTTCACCTAGAATAATAGTCTCTGTTCCCACCATTTTTACACTTTTGCTTTGTATCTTTTGGCAAGAATACCAAAAACTATCTTTTCCTCATTGCATCACTAGGAAAGATGCACTCTCCTTCCAAGGGGATAATGTAAATTTGTAGCTGCTGGTCATCTGGAGAAGTCCTGCCTTATGGTCAGGTAGCAGAGAAGAAAGTAGACAATCATGTGGGGAGAAATAGAGCTCTCATGATCTCACTGCAAAGAATGGCAGCTCTCACTGCTTCAGTAGAGCCCTCCAGATCTCAGTTCTGTTAGCCAATCAAATGTTGAGTTAAACTCGATTTTTTGGCAAGCCAATACATTATTAGGTTATTAGATGTTTTCATTTGCAATGGAAAGAGGACTACTATAGTCAGATCATAAAAGGAAAGGAAGAAACATTGGAAGAAGGTAGATAGAAAACAAGGAAGGAAAGGAAAATGGAAGGAAGGAGAACTCTAACACCTGGCAAAGAAAAAAATGGAAGGAAAAAAAAGAAAGAAGGGGAAAGGGAAAGATAGAAAGGAAGAAATGAAGTATGAGAGAATGAGATGAAGAAGGAAAGGCAGTCCACAGGGGCTGCTGGGATTTGGCCCTGATGCATGCTCCACCCCTGCCTAAGGGTTTTGCGGAATGTAAGCTCAAGTGTGCTGAGGAACAGGTGCTTCCCTTCCCTCTGTTCTGGCCTCCTTGCTCTGCAGCCACCCTGCTGCCAGTGCTGCTACTGACCTGGGATTGTCACTGCAGTGACTCTGCTCTTTGAGTTCATTGCTGCTACCACACTGGGCCACCTCCCCAGTGAGGACAGGGCCCTTGCCTAATTCCTCAAGCACACCTGAGTCTGGGCTGCAGCTTTGAAAATATATGGAAGGCTGGGGATTGAGATGGCAAATATACTGCAAATAAATCTTACAAATATGGAAACCCTTCTTGGGTGCAGTACAGAGCTGTGCCTCTGGGATTCCTTTCTTCGGCAACTTACCTCTCTCTATACTGGGTACCTCTTGACCAGTGATTCTGTCCCAGATAGAGGAGAAAGATTTTACTTATGCCAAACTGTCATCTACACTTCATCCTTCTCATTCCCTGCCCCAGGAATAATTGAGTTCCAAGATAATCAGTGGTGGGAATATTCCTTCACTTCAGTGGAAAGCATAGTCCCAAGACTACTAGAAAATAGTGTCATATTGGTGGATTTCCCAACTTGTAACCCAACACAACTCATAATCCCTTATATCCTTTCCTGACTGAGATCACATCAACTTCCATGCAAACTTATTTTCAAACCTTTAGCACTGAGATTTTCAAAAGTCTTTGGCCTCCTCTTACTTCTGATCCAACATGATGGGTGCACCAAAATCTCACATATCACCCCTGAAGAACTTACTTGTGTAACCAAATACCACCTGTCCCCCCCCAAAAAAACCTATGGAATTAAAAAATAAAGAAAAAGAAAACAAAACACAAAAAAAACAAAAAGACAAAGATGATCTCTTGAGAACCCTGAGGTTGGGCAGACATTGGATATAATAAAAAGTTCATGAAAACAAGATCTGCAGACTTGAGATCCAGGTGAATCTGGAGTTTTGGACAACAATTTGGGAAAACAGCAGGAGATCTTTAGCAAAGTATTCAGAAAACAATGAAGATAAGGTTTCTTTCCTGGAGGAGGTTTGCGGGAATAGATGTATAAAGATAAGTGACGGGATAATAGTACTGATTAACTAGGAAAAGATAGTGATTATGGGAGGCAGTAGCTTTTTCTCCAGTAATTTCAAGGGTTTCATTCACCAGGCCACTTAGATCCTTTCTTGTTTATTGACACAGGATTTCACACAGTAACTTTCCCTCCATGGAATCCTAAAGCTGGCCAGTATTCTAGAAAGTGGCAAAGAAGATTTCTCTAAAACCACTTTTGTGAGTCCACTTTTGTCCAAAATTGTGAAAGGGCACAATTGTTTCTTATTCTTTCTTATTTTTTCTAGACCTTTCCCACTTCTTCTGATACATCTCTAACCACATAACCATTGCTTCTTGCTGTTAAAAAGTAGATATGACCACCATTAACTCCTCCATGTGAATTAGTAGTGCTCGCTTCAATAAAGATTGATGGAAGATCTTACGATGACTCTGATGACTCTGTATTCTTACAAAATAGAAGAAAAGGTGAAGCAAGAGTCCCAACATGAGTTTGAAGGGCTTATGCTCCTGGTAAGGGCTCTTGGAAGAAGATGGATCTTTAATGGGATTTCGGATCCATTTATACCTAGTTATCAGGGAGATCATTGGCAGGAAGGCCATTCTAATGCCTTTCAAAAGAGTGTGAAGATGGCTTTTGCACTACCTACAAAATCCTACCTTAACTAATTTTCTTCTTCTACTAGATAACACAGTCTCTGTATCATATGCCTTCATGTGTATTTCTCCACTGATACAGAATTTCCTCTCCTACCTCTCTACCCTTTATGAGGCAGAGTCTTGATATCAGAATAAATACACATAAACAAAACAAAGCAAACAAATGCTACACATATCAAAATACTGGTGCTATGTGTAGCCCATATATGCCCATTTTTTGTCCACTCTCAGCAATGAATCACCAGTTATCAGTCTTCACAACTGGCCTGGTCTGTTTGTGCTGCCATAAAAAATGTTTTGGAATGGGTAATTTATAAACAGCAAAAATTAATTTCTTACAGTGCTGGAACTGAGAAGTCCAAGATAAAGGTGTTGCACTGGTGTCTGTCGAGAGCTGCTCTCTGCTTCCAAGATGGCGCCTTGCTTCTGTGTTCTCACAGGGTGAAAGGTGGAAGGGCAAGATTCTGTTCCTCTCAGCCTCGAGCTCTTTTGTAAGAGTGCTTGCTCATCTTATTCATGAAGGCAGAACTTGCGTCACTTAATCACCTCCCACAGGAAACATCTCATAATATTTTGCATTAGTGAAGATGTTTCAACATGAATTTGAAAGAGGACATCATCACTGAAACCAGAGCAACAATAAGCAAAATGTAGTCAGGTTTCTGAGTGGCCAGAGAACATTTCACCAAATAGAGTCTCTGGAATTCAAGCATTTTGACCTGGGGGATTGCCCCCAGTACTTTTTCTCCAAGCCTGTTTTCCTTTGCCTGGGTAACCATTATAATAAGCTTTCATAATCTAGCTTCACACAGGGAAGCAGATTAAGAGCCACAAATTGGGAGAAGAAAAGGAATTTGCTGGAAGTTGATAATTAGAAGTAAAATTGGATGCCAGAATTACAGTGAGGAAAAAGAGCAAGTCTTAAAAATCACGCAAAAAGCAGAGTCCTTTCAAAAGCTGAGGATATCTGGGGGCATTTAGTGCCAGAACGAACCTGCCTTCCCACCTGAGTCCTTCCCAGAACATCTTCTTTTTATATTATCCTCCGACAAAAAGCATGCCCGCCATTTGATCTTGAATCCTTAGAGAAAACATATAGCACATTGCATGAACTTTTCTTTAGAAGGGAAAGTGACATGTTTATTTAGAATGCTTCTATGAAAAATAAAAGGTAAAGTAAGGACAAATCGCTTGAATATATAAAGAGCCCAAACTTAAGTTATTTGGAAATTAAATTTTCGTAGAGTGATTCATGTCCTTGTGTTGCCTGATAAATGAGTCATCAGAACAGAAGAGATGATATATGGCTAGATGCTATCATGGTGGGAAAGGAGAGAAACCTATCCCAAGAGGAACCACAGATTTTTAGAAAGTGTTGCAAGCTTCTTCCTGCTATTGAGACCTCTTCACCTTTAAATCTAAAGCTTCTGAAATTGAAATTGAAAAAAATAATTACCAACATTGGCACCAACTACTCACTACAGCACATTTGCCAGTGTTAGCATGGTGGTTGAATTTAGTCTGGTCCAGAATAGTGAACAGCATCAGAGGAAAAAGGAGCCAGCCTTGCCCAGACTAGAGAAGTGGGTGCAAAGAGTCAACACCCAAGAACTGATCCTGAGAAACACATTTCAGCTCTGTGGCTAGAAGTATTTGTCAAGGTTCTTTTAGCTATTCCTGGCTAATAAGATTTTAAGGCAAAGTGCCTTGAAGGCTGATTTAAATTTGATTATTGCCATTTGGAATTCTCTAGATTCCCCTCTCAGATTTACTGGTCAAAGTCTTAAGGTTACACAAGCCAAAGAAATACTAGAAAAAAAAAAACAGATCAAAAATAAATCTAAATCTTTCAACTCCCTGCTCCATGAAGCATATGAGGATACCAGCATCATGAAACACATGCTATGAAGTAGATAATACTATCCTGATTTTGACAGGTGAGACAAAAAAGGAGAAACCAGAAAGTTTTGTTACTTGTTACTCACGTTCCAAATTAAACAGTAAATCAAAACAAAACAAAAACAAACAAACAAAAAGAAACAAAAACAAAAACAAAGGTGGGGAATGATTTAATGAGTACAGTGTGCACGATTTGACTATTTGGGTGATGGTTACACTAAAAGCTGAGAGTTGGCAATGGCTCCTACCTGTAATGCCAGCCCTTAGGAGGCCAAGGAGGGAGGATCACCTGATGTCAGGAGTTTGAAACCAGCCTGGTCAACATGGTGGAACCTCGTCTCCACTAAAAATATGAAAATTACCCAAGCATGGTGGAGCATGTCTGTAGTCCCAGATACTTGGGAGGCTGAGGCAGGAGAATCACTTGAACCCAGAAGGCAGAGGTTGCAGTGAGCTGAGACCACACCACTGCACTCCAGCCTGGGCAATAGAGTGAGATGGTCTCATAAATAAATAAATAAAAGACAAGAATTTACCACTAAACAATACATCCATGTAACAAAACTGCCCTTTACCCCTTAAATTTGTAGCAATAAAAAAATGAAGCACTAGAAATAATATGCAAGTCCACTGCTGCTTAGCCTTTAGCCAGAGTTCCTTTCACTACACTGCGTACATGAAGAATAAGTCAAAGGAGAGACACAATGAACAAACTGGAAAGAAAGCACACATGGGGACAAAGCAGATGAGCAGTTTCGGAGTCAGAGATTTTTCATGAATGGATGCCAGCATCTCAATCAGGAGGGAGAGCCCTGGGAAGCACATTGTTTCTAGTAGTATCTCACCCTGGAGATGAGAGGCTCTCTCTGAGGGTTTTCTAGTATCCATTCTTTTCTTTTGTGCTAAGATCTATCAAGCCTTCTCTCTGGGCTGGACCTCTTCGAGTGAATAAAGTCCACTTTTCTTAACAAAAGAACGCTGTCAACAATAAGGATACTTGACTATGACCAATAATAACCTCAACCATGACCGTCACTTGTTGAGTACTCTGTAGCATACACAGGTAGGACTAAGCATGTCATATACATCCTCAATTTTAATCTTCAAAGTATCCATTGGATTATTGGGAAGGTTGAAGGAGATAAACACTTTGTAAACTGAAAAGCATGGTAAATGTATTAATCAGTATTATCACCATTGTTTTTATTGGCCTAAATCTAGCTTTTGTGTATAAAACTCTCAACTTCTCTTTCTGGAAAATCTCTGTCAATTTTTCCTCTTGCCTGCCTCTCAGATAAATTCCCTCCTTATCACCATGGCCACTGACCTTATTAAGTGTCTTGTCATCTTGCGCCAGAACTACTTCTAATTGATCTTTCTGCCATCAGTCTCTTTCTACCTTAATTCATTCCCCCACAGCATCCAGATGTATTTTTTGATATGAAAATGTGATCTCACTTCCTCCCATAAATCTATATGATGGATCACTGAAACCTACGAGATGGCTTCCAAACCTCCACTGTGGCTACTAGACACCAGGACTCTGCTTTTACCCAACCGTTCAGGCTCATTACTTGTGATTCCCCAATTCCCAACAAATCTGACTCTTTCAGATCACAGTGCTGTACCCAAGCACACATGCTGCCTGAATCAACCTCTGTCACCTTGTTGCATAATTGTGTATCTACCACTAGTAGATGATGAAGCTCAAATATCATCCCCTCTATGAATTAGCTTCCAATATTTCCTTCTATGTCTGCCTGAATCACAGCAGAGTGAATCTCTCAATGACCCTTGTAGCAACCTGTGCATCCTTTGATTACAAAATAATGACAGTACTGTTAATAATAATAACTACTAGTATTTTCTCCATCCCGTTTTAAGCTTTATTAAGAGTCTTGTGTAGAATATCTCACACTCACAACAGTCTCAAAATAATTTTATAGTTGCCCCCATTTTGCAGATGCATGGTCTAGGTTCAGATACATTATTTAATTTTCCAGAGGTTACACCACTCGCAGTAGGGGATGCTGCAAACCCCAGCACCTCCTGTAAGTCCTAAGGTTATAGCCTTCTTCAAAGTCACTGGTTTATCTCATCCCACATTTCATCCTCCAGATCTGCACTGCCCAACATGGTAACTGCCACCCATATGTGTCTACTTAAATTTACAATTTAAGTCATTAAATGAAATCAAGCTTTCAGTGCATCAGTTACAGTTCCCCATGACAGAAGCTCCATACCATAGCTGTAATGTTTAACACAAATATAAAACATGTTCATCATCACAGAAAGTACTATTGCACAGTGCTACACACTGGGCAGGGATCTTGTCTCCACACTGGTATCCCTAACACTTAGGACAGTGCAGTTCAATGAAGCTATTGATGAAGAACCAGACTCTTGCTATATTGTCTTGATTTTCTTATATCAGCAATGAAAATCTATCATGTAAATGGGATTGTTGTAAAATAATCTGTATCTATAATGTACATGGGATTTCTTTGGAACAAATAAGCAACTCTGGCACTAGATCTGTCAGCTCCCATCATTGCCAATCTTACTTTGGAGCAGAGATGTCATGCATGAGATCTCAACTTTTGCCCCAGCGCCAGGGAGAAGAGGGAGTTTCAGCTCCTGAATCCCGGAAAGCCTACCCCCAATCCCACCATGGGTGCACCAAGAAAGCGTTGGATCTGTTGGTTCCCATCATTACCAATCTCACTCTGGAGCAGAGACCTCATGCATGGGTGGCTCTCTTCAACCTTTACCCCAGTGCCAGGGAGAAGACATGGTTTCAGCTCCTGAATCCCAGAAAGCCCATCCCAGTTCCACCATGGGTACACCGTGATAAGAGCTAGCCACACAAATGTATTTAACCATTTCGTGTGTTTAGTTCTAGAGTCTAATATGAAATTTCCAAACTGGAAATCTACTTACTTTTTCACTGTTTGGATTGTAAATGGAATCATTTCCCTGGTGAACATTCCATCAGTATGGAATCTCCCAGGAATTCAAGTGTTTTTAATGCCCTGGTCCTATCCTTCCTCCCCCGTCAAAAATGCATGGGTAACTTTTCCAACCATCACAACTTTTCTTATTATTAACAACAGTGCTTAGCATTTATTTACCTGTTTAGAAAATGTCCATAATTTAGTCAGCCCTAGGTTTGAACCCTGCATCAACTGGCTTTGTCAACTTTAGGCTATGTATTTACTTCCTTAAGCCTCTAGTTTTCTTTCAGCTATAAAATGAAAATATGATTATTATTATCATTACTCACTTCAAAGAATTATAGTGAGGCTACAACAATAAAATACCTATTAATTGCTCAATACAGCACACAGTAGTCAAGTTAACTGTTGTTACTATCAGTATTTTTTAAAATTTTTATTATTGGACTATGTTTTGGTAACTTTATATAGCTTCATACCCTTTATTCTTTTTAAAGTTCTGGTGGAGAAGGTATTAGTCCCTCGGCTTTTGAGATGAGGAAAAGGCTCAAAACAGTTAAGAGAATTGCTCAAGGTCATGATGAGTGAATGGCAGAACCAGCCTTCCACCCCAGCTCTGATGAACTACAGAACCAAGGATCTCCCAGCTCCACCAGGCATCGGTTTCAATTTACAAGAACTGCTCAAACTCAGACCAGTCAGTGTGGCCCAGGGCATCTGTAGCTGGCGGCTGGGCTTGCATAGAAAGTGCCATTCTATCTGGAGCCTGCGATGCACATCCTACCTTTAACTCTGTAGTATCCACCAGGGAGTGTTACTCTGCAGGCCTTCCTGAAACAGGCAGAGAACCATTAACAGAGGAGAGCCTTCCATTCTCTGCTGCCGAAGACATTTAGATTAACACTTTGGAATGGAACCAAGAAAGTAAATATCAAGGGGAGTCATTCGGCCCTGGCAACACGGAGCAGGTAATGAAAGAAAAAATCAGAGTCATCTCTTTACTTTTAGAGCCTTTATGGGAATGTTACTCAAATGGCGCTGAAACAGCAGAGCATTTACAACTGGATAAAGGTTTTCCCACCCAAGACTCCTGGAATTCATGATGCCAGTGATGCTGAAAATCAGCCATTATCTAAAATCTGCACCTTAAGACAAAGCACACTGCAAACCCCAGGCTTCATGCTCCCCTCAATGTATCTCTGCCTCTGAGCTTGGCCTTGAGAAATACATATTTGTCTATCATTTAGAAATTTCAGTCAATTCTGCAGGATAAAGAAAAAAAAAAAGAGAATTTCCTGGAGGAAAAAAAAAGCAAAGTTAAACTATAACATAACACTTTGAGGAAGATAAAATCGTATACGCATACGTACACACACTCTGTCTCTTACCTGAAAGCATGCTGGTTCATTTCAATAAGAAACAAATTTGAGGTTGACGCTGATGAAGGCAGTTGTACATTTTATCACTAATAAGTGACACAAGGGGCCTTATTACAAAATATTTCTAAACATACAAAATTTGGTAATGGGACCCCCAGGGGCCAGGCCCACAAATTGTGTACTCTGTGTCTGTATATGCACAGCCAAGCGTTTCCACGGTAACTAAGACGGCGTATGTAAGCAGTTCAGAATTGCTGGCATGCAGAAATCCTAAAGCCTGCCGACTTTATTTTTAGTCCAAACGGTTAGATTTCACATTTCATCAGCATTGAGCTTCTTCTGTTTTCCAACAAACACCACACGCACATGCACACTGCACCAGATGTCTATAGTTTATCATGCAAATATTACATAGAAGCGATAATCATTATTAACGAACATAATCACCAAAGTTGGGAGGGATATCATTCACTGCCAGTTTGTGCTCAATCCCTTATGTCCCAGAGTCAAAAGGGAAAAGAAGGAAAAAAAAATTGTCAGCGATCAGATGCGTGCTTTAACAAAGAACAGCGTCCTGCCAAGGGCTACTGGTATGAAATTTCTTCCTGTTTTGACAACACTTTTTCTCCCTCAGGAACAGAGGGTACAAAGTCAACAGCTGCCAGAATGGGCCACTGGTTATTCTTCACCCACAGGCTTCCAAATATCCCCCAGCCCCACTCAAGTTCGTCTTCTGATGGTGATACCCGCAAGCTTTTGGGGTGTATGTTATAAGATGGGAGGAAAATCAAACAACAGCCTTCTTGATTTCTCCTCCTCTCTGTTCTCTCTCATCACAGTTGGTCCTTCTCAGTCTGGCCACCTCCTGCCCTTTTGTTTCCCTAGAGCAGAGACCACACTCTTACATCCTGTGGATCACTACAAGCTTGCAGACATATTTTGCTTGGCCCACCTAGTGTTTTAAAAAATAAAATAAAAATAATTAGCTGTCAACTCTTAGGGAAAGGGAGGTTTCACATAAAAATCCAAATTTTCAGTAAGTAAACAAGGAAGCAGGGAGGGAGGGAAGAAGGAAGGAAAAGAAGGAAGGAAGGAAAGAACGAAGGAATGAACGAACGTACGAATGAACGAACGATCTGCAACACTGGGCCAGCATCCCTGTTGTCTAATGGGCGGAGTGGAAAAGATTGGCCTTCTTTAAACTGGACAAGCATGATTCATACTGCTAAGTCTCCACTTCCTTCTATCCTTTGCCAGGCCCACATCACATGTTTGCTTACTGAGATCCTGTTTTAAGCACTGATCTATAATTCTCCTCTGCCCCTGAAGAGATCCTGGAGCAACCAGATCTCTTCATTGCCCCCTCACTCCAGATTCAGACTTGAGGGGAATCATAATTCTCTTAAAATTTTCCTTTCTCCTTTTGTCCCTCCCGACCTCCCTACTCTTCCTCCTTTCCTTCCCTTAAGTAATTCCTAAACACTTCCTATGTACCTAGTCTGTTTCCAATCACTGCGAATGATATATGGAAAGGTCACATGGCTTATGGTCTCAAGGATGTGGCCATTTTTATTGCTTGATGTTTTTTCCCAAATAATAAGTTAGAATATGAAACTTGAAGGCTGGGTGCAGTGGCTCATATCTGTAATCCCTGCACTTTGGGAGGCTGAGACGGGTAGATCACCTTAGGTCAGGAGTTCAAGACCAGCCTGGCCAACATGGTGAAACCGTGTCTCTATAAAAAGTACAAAAATTAGCCAGGCATGGTGCTGGGTGCCTGTAGTCCCAGCTACTCGGGAGGCTGAGGCAGGAAAATTGCTTGAACCCGGGAGGCGGAGGTTTCAGTGAGCTGAGATCGCACCATTACATGCCAGCCTGGCAACAGGGTGACAGTCTGTCTCAAAAAACAAGCAAACAAACAAAAATACAAAAAACAAAAAAACTTGACCGTAATTTCCAATGCCATGGTTTTCTCATCTTTAAAATGACCTCACAGTGGTGAAGGTCAAACTGGATCATGTATGTTACATGTTAGAGACTTAGCCCAAGGATTGACAATTAATTGTTAACAATTTAGCAGTAAGACAATCTGGCACCATAGTTAAGAACATGAGCCGTGGATTCAGATTCAAATTCTGGCTCTCCCTACTTACTGGTTGTATGGTCTTCAGCAATATAGTCTCTTTGAATCTCAGTTTGCTCATCTGAAAAGTGATTTAATAATAGACAACTTCATAATAATGCACCGACGATTAATTAGAGTACATACAAGTGTGTAACACAGTGATACCTAGTAAGTAAACTAATGGCACTTTTTTCATTTTTTTATTTTTAAGATTTCTAATATTGGGGTTCAGGGGTTCAGGGTGCCCTCAGCTCCCCTGAGAGGATGTTTCTCTAGGTTCTTGGTCTCCTGCCCTCTCAAGAATGAGAGAGGGGACCATAGCATAGTGCACAGTAAATGCCAGACACGAAAGTGTTTGTAGAAAGTGATTTATTTAGAGAGAGAGAGAGAGAGAGAAACAGCTAACTCTCACACTGAGTGAGAGAACCCAGAAAGATGGAATCCAGGGGAGGAAAGCAGCTTCCACATTGAGTGGAAGAGAATAGAGAGATGGAGTTTAGGAGGGGAAGACAGGCTTCCATGAGAGAGTGTGGAAGGGGACTCCAGAAGGAAAATCTATGAGAGAGAAAGATGGCTTCCATGAAGGGAGTGTTTGTGGAAGGGGCCCCAAACATGGAGTCCCTAATGGCACTTTTAAAGACTTTTTTTAAATTAGCTGGACATAGTGGTGCACAGCTGTAGTCCCAGTTACTCAGGAGACTGGGGCAGGAGGATCACACGACCCAGAAGGTCGAGGCTGCAGTGAGCTATGATGGCATCACTGTAATCCAGTGTAGGTGACACAGTAAGACCCTGTCTCTAAAACAAATAAATATAATTTTTCAGCACTATTAGGAACACATGATTGGACATTTGGGCAGAAAATGAGAAATCGAAGCTCTGTCGTCAAAAATCAGAACACATGGTACCAGTGATCTATTGCTGAATAACAAAATATTTCTAACACTTCGTGATTCAAAACCAACAAAAGTTTATTATCTCTCACATGTTCTGTGGTCTAGGATTTTTGGAGCAGATTCTCACTTGAGGTCTCTCTTGAGGTTTCAGCCAAGGTGTCAGCTGGGGCTGAAGTCATCTGAAGTTTTGACTGGGGGTGGGGGAGCCAATCCCAAGATGCTTTGCTCATATAACTGGCAGCTGGTGCTGACTGTTGGTGAGAGTCCTCAGCGTGTGGTCCTTTCCAGAGGGCAGCTTCAGTGTCTTCAAGATAGGAGCTGGCTTCACCTAGAGCCAATTATATAAGAAACAGAGGGGCAGGTGCAGTGGCACATACCTCTAATCCCAGCACTTTGGGAAGTTCAGGTGGGTGGATCGCTTGAGGCCAGGAGTTCAAGATCGGCCTGGCCAGCATGGTGAAACCCCATCTCTACTGAAAATACAAAAATTAGCCAAGCCTGGTGATGCATGGTTGTGATCCCAGCTTCTTGGGAGGCTGAGGCAGGAGAATTACTTGAACCAGGGAGGCAAATGTTGCAGTGAGTCAAGATCATGCCACTGCACTCCAGCCTGGGCAACAGAGCCAGACTGCACCTCAAAAGAGAAAAAAAGAGAGAGAGAGAAAAGAAAGAGGGAAACGATAATGCTTTTTATAACCTAACTTGAGATACCACACCCCACCGCCAATCTATACTCTAGGGGTCACACTACCCAGACCTGACTCAGCCTGGGAGGGAACGGCACAGAGGCACGAACCTGGAAGCAAGCATCACTGGGGCTGCCTGGAAGCCTGGGGTCCACACTGTGATCTTCACACACATATCTGTAAACAGTCCAGTGCTGTGAAAGAGGATGCACTATATTCTTAATTATTTTACGATTGGTAGAAGTTAGAAGTAGCAGGCATACACCCTTGAAGCCCTGGGCTTTAAGAGAACATGGGTCAGACCATTTCCAGAGTCTCTGACATTTCTAATGAGTTTCCAAAGGAAGGGAAGGTAAACAGTCTACATCTATTATTAGCATATGTGCAGGCTTTTACTTATATATTATCTCATTTGATCTCAAAAATTCTCATCCATGCATTCACTTTAATCAAATACCAACTGTATATCAGATACCATACTAGGTGCTGATAATACAGCAAAACAGGTCAGACATAAATGTTGCCTTCATAGTCCTTACCAGCCAGCCAGGGGGAAAGAAAGGCTTTGATGAAGTCTGAAGTGTGCGCCTCATGCAGTCTTGATGTTCAGATTGCCTAAAAGCAACTTAACAAGTGCTTTCCATAGGCTAGGTATGGCGATGAATGCTTGAGAAGCCTGATTTCATTTAGTTCTACCACCTCCCTTGAAGATAGGTACTCTAAGTGCCTCTAATTTTTATGTATGGGGAAAGTGAGCCTTAGAGAATTAAGTCAATGACTCAAGGCTGCGCCGTTACACAGCTAATAAGCAGGACCAGACTCCTGACTTCAGTTGAGCGGTGGGGAGCACATTCCCACTCTGGTTACGGCTCCTAAGTTCTGTACCCTACCCTGGGGCTGTGCCTTCCTGGAGGAAACAGTGCATCTTTGTAAGTCACACAGAGGGCTACTCAGGCCATCGAAGATCCTTGTAGAAAGGGTGAGCACCCCTAGCCCTATTTGATTCATTGCTACATTACTCTCTAGGCTGTTGTGCAGTGAAAGTCAAGGTGACAACAGAAAGCATCCAGGAGAGGGCAGAGAGGAGTGAAAGCTATTGCAGTGGCCAGGATGGCCTGCGCTGAACTCATCTTTATTGGCGAGAGGGTAGGGCCAGCTTAGATTGATGTTGAATGGTGGGGCAGACACACATCTGCATATTTTTAGAGGAGTTTTTCAGAGAGAAAAAGGAAGACAAAAGCAAAGAGTACTACTCCTTCTTCCTCTTCCCTTGCCTTCAGGTCAAAAATCATTAGATAGGGGTAAGCACAGTGCCTCATGACTATCTTCCCATCACTTTGGGAGGCCGAGGAGGGTGGATCACTTGGGGTCAGGAGTTTGAGACCAGCCTGGCCAATATGCTGAAACCTCATCTCTACTAAAAATGCAAAAATTAGCTGGGCATGGTGGTGCATGCCTATAGTCCTAGCTACTTGGGAGGCTGAGGCAGGAGAACTGCTTGAGCCTGGAAAGTTGAGATTGCAGTGAGCTAAGATCATGCCCGTGCACTCCAACCTGGGGCGTCTCAGTGATCTGCTAAAAAAATTTTTTTTTAAATAATAATAATCATTAGATGGGATTGAGTAATGTAGACATCCTGGTTAGAGGTTGGAGGCAAGTGGCTTGGGGCAGGGTAAGGAAGGCCGCAGGGCAAGGTTTTGTAGCCTGAGTGGGTAAGTGTGGTGTCCCAGAGGAAGGGTGGCCACATTCCCTACTGGGGAGAAGTGGACATTCCTTTTGAGGGGTGGCTTTATAAGGGGTCATGGAGGCTAGTGGAGAGAAGTGCCATTTCTATTTAGCAGTAGCCTGATACAGGATACTGGACCTAGTGGAAAGCGCAGACATCCTATTTAGGTAAAGAGTAAGAGGCGGTGGGGGTTAGCGGGAAAAGGAAGCCACCTATTCATGAGGTTGGCCAGCACTGAGTGTCGGAGTCCAAGCAGGGAGGGGAGGGCTTCGCTGTGGACTGGCTGATGATGCCTGGGGTGCAGGAGGCTGAGCGGGATGAGTAGATCATCCTTTAGTGGGAGAGCAACTAAGGTGACAGGAGGTTGGCTACAAGGAGAGTGATGGTTAGTAGATGTGACGGTTAATATTGAATGTCAACATGATTGGGTTGAGGGATGCGAAGCATTGTTCCTGGGTGTATCTGTGAAGGTGTTGCCAAAGGAGATTAACACTTGAGTCAGTGGACTGGGAGAGGCAGA